AGGGAAAGATCCAAAAAAAACCTAATGAAAATGGAAGAATAGGCTCATGTGTCTGAGTCAGAGGAAGCATTGGACATGAAGAGTTGCTCCATAGGTGTCAGTTTCTCTCATTTCATTCCCTGGTCCAGAACTTCTTTAAGGGGCAGAAAGAAGGTGCCCAGCTCTTGTATCGGTAACCTGGGAAACGATGGCAGGTGCTGAGAGTCAGGCAGAATGGGGTGACTCGATGGTCTCTTATTTTCTTGGTCTGAATTGCTGCTTTCTCAGAGGGTTCAGGCTCGCTATCTGGAGGAACCTCTTAGCAACCAGCCTCAAATACAGGCATGGATGGCCAGAGAGGCCACAAAAACTTAATCAGTGTGGGACCTGGGCATTCTGTTGCTGTCTTTGCTCTCAGGGTGAGTATGGGATGGGCTGTTCATTGATAACTCACTGAACTCTAGCATCGTGCCAGGAGCTTGTTAAAAATAAAATGGAGGGCCCCACCCTGATACACTCTGATTCAGGAGGTGTGAGGCAGCTCAGGAATCTTTGACTAGCTCCCAAGTGTGGCCAGAGTGGGACCTGCCAAGTTGGATCACCTTTCGGGGTCCAGGAGATGAGAACTTCTCAGCTCCTGGGGTGCGGAACCTTGGGTATGCCCACAAAGCGTGCCCCGGGGCAGGATGGGAAGTGCAGTGGTTGGGATGGAAGGAGGAGAGCGAGGGGTCCAGCCAGCAGGCTTGGGCAGAAGAGAAGCAGAGGTGTCAGTGAGCCCAGCTGTAACCAACCTCTCCTCTGTGATGTCCCCTCCTCCTGCCTTGGTTCTTAGCATACACTGGAATGGTCTAAATTGCCTGCTTCCTTCACCAGCCTGGGTGCTCCTCGAAGGCAAGGACCTTGCATTCATTCATACATCCATTCATTCCATAAATATTTATTAAGACATTCATTTGCCAGGGACGGGCACTAATCGGGGACAAGGCTGAGTCAGCTCACCAGTGCTTCCAGTCTAGTAAGGAGGCAGGCAGGAAGACCAAGAAACTCTAACGAAGTGTGTTAAATGCTGCGATGGACAATCAGCAGACGTGTAATAGGGACACACATCCGGAACTTGAGAAATTTGGAAAGGCTGCCTGGAAGAAGGAGAGACTAAGATGGCGATGAATCGAAGGGGAGTAGGGAGGTGTGTTTCAGACCCAGGGTATGTGCAGGCCTTTGTTGGGACTAGAAAAGGTCCAAGTGGCTGTACTGAAAGGTGAGGGGGTGGAATTCTGGGAGATGAGGCCCCTGTCCAGGCCGTGTGCAGAAGTTTTCACTTTAGTGCTGGGCAGTGTGATAGGGAGCAGTGAAAGGGTCCCACCTCCTACTTGCCTGGTACCCAGCTTGAGACCTGACTCAGGGCAGCTGCAGGGAGCATGTGGTGAGCAGGCTGCTTCTCTCCAGCTGACTGGATGGCCTGACCCCAGCTCCTGTCCACTTCTCACATCATTCTTGTCTGTTCCCTATGGGCTAGGTCAGCTCCCCCTCTGGGAACCAGGAAGTATTTCTTCAGCACTTGGGAATAGTAGATGCTTCTCCAAGTGAGCGTGGGCCACTGCCCAGAGCCGGGGAAACGGGCTGGGAAGGGGCATGCTCTCCCAGGAGTCTCAGAAGCACCGGGCTCCTCTGACCTCTCAAGCTGTTAAAAACTGTGTTCCTAAGAGAATCCAATTGTTCTGCCCTTCCTTTGGCTTTCCTTCTGGGGAGTGGTCTCCTCCAGGGTCTATGTTTGGGCCTTCAGGGCTTCCCGGGGCTGGCCCAGGGCCTGGCGCTTGGTGGGAGTGCCCTAGGTTTATGTGAGTTTCACGGACACATCTACTCAGTCCCTGAACAGTGAGCCTCTGAGCCCCCAGATGGGAAGGGCAGGCCCTTTCTTGACCTTGGGAGGTCTCCGGCCCACCATGAATCTGATCTGGAGCTGGCCTCCTGCTCAGGGCCCTTGGGGCATGGTGACAGTGATGGCCATTGCTGACATTTTACTGGCCCATGTTTTGTACCAGACGATAGGCACCCTGTACACT